CAAATTGATGGCTAAATGGAGCAAGTAAATCAAGTTTTGAAGTAATATTTAAGTTATACCATCAACTATCAATAAGATGATTAGATAACTCTATTATTATTGATAGAGTTTGCTTATAATAATATAATACATTTTTCTACACAACAAACATATTTCTTTATCAATTATGGTTAGCATCCATGACTTAATACTTTTGATTTTTTAAAAGTTCATAATCTTGTAGTAAAAGATTTTTTAAATTCTTTATTAGAACTAAATGCAATAATAAAGATATAACTAAAAGAAGCTCAAGAAGAACAAAAGATCAATACAGATGCTTATTATAAGGAACAACCTCAATTTCATTTTAGCACTAAAGAATGATTACTTTGTTGTAGTATCAAGGCTATTTGCTATTGTAACAAGTTGGATTATTGTAGACGTGGACTATTTTTTATATACAAATAAATTAATCTAATAGTTTATCAATTGTATCTATTAAAGTCAATGAAGATCCATGTAATTTTCCAAATATCTCTTTTTAAGCCATATAAGACAATACATATATCAAAAAGACAAAAAATACCACATCTTTTTATAAAAGTGGATAATAACAAAGAATATAAGATTAAAGAGGTCTTAGACTCAAGACACTGCCAAAATAGGTTAAAATATCCTATTCATTGAAATAGATATGATATTAATAAATAAATATAGGAGCCAACTAAGAATCTTGAAAATACTTCAAAGAAGGTTGATATTTTTTATTAACAACATCTATCAAAATTAAGATGAAAGATAACAAATCTTTGTTATAAAAAAATTATAATTCAAAAAAGATTATGATTGACCTTCTATCCTTATTTGTAGTTTTTATGGATTTATTGTACTAAAAGATTTGTGAAGAATTAATAGCTAGCAGATTCAATTCAAGAGCCATTGTTTGCTGACTTACCAAACAAGATATTGAAATTATTACAATATTCAAGATAACATAATCAAGATGAAGATCTTCAAAAATAACATGTTTTTCATAAGATAAATGGTAAGATATAACGCATTTTATATTATGACCTTAGAAGAAACTCTCAATATTTGGTGATTTTATTAGAGATAAGAATAATTCTTAATGATATTACAAATATTTTTTTAATAGAAGTTACAAAAACCTCGATAATGATCAAATAATAGATGGTCTTTTTATTCTAAAATGAGACATTATTAGTGGTTAAAAAGACCTATTAACTACCTTTGAAGGAAACAAAGATTAGATTATGTGAAAAATACAATTTGTCAAATTTTGGACTTCATCAACATGTGATCATTGCTTCTTATGGAACTTGTTCTTGAAAGGGAGGAATAATGTCATGGACATATATATTTATTCCAATAATAACCTAGATATTACAAATAATTAAAAATATATTATTTTGATAATATCTTATAAAAAAGCTTCATAGACGTGGTTTCACCTTTATACATATCTATAAGTGATTAGTAGATTAAAAACTTGGCCAATAAATTAATTATATATCTTGCATTGTTGTATTATATGAAGTCTGCTTAAAAATACATTAGACACTTAGTTGTAAAAGGAAAAATAGAACTTGTAATAAGAAGATTCTAACAATTCTAATAGAATCCTAAATAAACTCTAATTGAATTATAAAAATACTAATCAATCTTTAATTAAATCCAAAAAAAATTCAAGAATATATATAAAAAATATAAAGAAATAATAAATTAATCTTAATAAAATATATATAATATATATAATATAAAAATATTAAAGAAATATCAAAAATAGATATCCTAATTGAATCACAATCAAACCTTAATATAATCTTCAAAAAATCTTCATAATATTCTAAATCAATCCTAACCAAATTTTAAACCAAATTCTAATGAAATCCTATTGCTACCACAATGATTCAATTAGAATATCTATTTTTGATATTATTTTTAGTAGAAATATACATCTTCAATTCCTATTTATTCCAAAATAATTTCTTTGTATCTATTTTTATGGATTTAATATAGATCTTCAAATTTTAAAATTTTAAAACTTTATCTTTGTAATAATATTCTATTTAATAAAAAAATCAGATTTTATGTCTTATATAAATACTATTATTGGTAAAAATTAGCTATAATTTTTTTGATTATATTTATTAATGCTATAGACTTCTAACCTATATTATATCTAGTTAAGAATATTCAATCAAAAATTTAAGAATAAAAAAAATTTATTAAGTTGACCTTGATTACATGCTAAATATTAATTTAAAAAATAGTTGGGTTTGTTAATTTAATGCAAGATTTTTTAAAGTATAGTATTATAATTTTAAAAAATATTTTAAGCTGGACAATACATGTATTTTGTTTATTAAAATATAAAAAAAGTATTTTGGTTATTGAACATAGTTATGTCCTAAAGATGCTTAACACATTATATCATCAAGATTACAATCTTTACAAATTGTCTATGATTCAAACTTAAAATTATTATCAAATTTGCAACCAATTAAAGTTGATACAATCTTATAAAATTAACTTATAGATAAGTTTAAAAAATTGCTAACTAAGCCTACTATTATATATTAATTACAATAAATATAGTAATCTAATTTGATAATCGTCATTAAGAACTGTATATAAATATTATTTATTTATTTTATTTTATTTTTGTTACATCAAAGGCACCAATGATTTGAATTATGCTACTACTAAGGAGATTCAAGCATATTAATAAGTTTTAATTATTTATATATTTATTCATGTTGATTACATAGATGAAAACTTGATTAAAATCCATTATTTTTTAGGATTGCATCCCAATACATGGAAATTTAAAATCAACCTTGTATTGCATGTTCTTCTATAGAATTTGAGGATGTTGTTCTATCTAACACAACTTATGGAGCCACTTGGCTCAAGAAACCACTCACTAATTTTTATAAAACAATTCCACTCAACCTTATAGAGATATTATAAGCTGGATAAAATTTGCAAAAAATCCAAATTTTTTATGTCATAAGAAAGTAAATTTTATTAGTAATACAAAGAAACTTAGGAGATAGAAAAATAAAATTCATAAATAAATTTTTATACCATAAAATAAATTTATTTCTTTGATTTATATTCCTAATATGATAAATCTTTTGGATATGTTTATCAAGTGAGTTAAACAAGCTATATATAAATAACTTTGAAATTAATTAGAAATTATACAAGCATTGTATATTCTATCTTCAAAAATTTAGCTACTTAGTTTTGCTCCCAACCTTTTAAACTAAAAAGCAAAACAAGCTTAGAAAAATGTATTATGACAAATAAGTAACTAGTGGATTGTTACATCCAAAGAATTAATTTGCAACAATCTGATTGACTAAGTAGAATCATAATTGATTTGTTAGGTGAGGGTTCTTCTTTGAATCGCTATACATGGACTCTTTAATAATCTTTTTTGATATATTTTTGCATTGCTTTTATCACTATTTTATAAACTCTACAAATTACTATTTTTATATTGATTGCATATAATGTACTACACGACTTGTACATATATTGTATTTTCTATTTTCAAAGAAATAATTAAAAATTCCACATTACTTAATCTTTATTATATCATAAATTTGATTTGCTAAATTTATACTTTAAAATAAAACATCTTATATTTTTACTATTTCTATTAAATTCCTCATAAAAATATTATTTTCTATATACATGTGGATACAATCCTCAAGTAATACATTATTCACATTGCATCAACAATCTTTGAAGTGAGTTATAAATAAATCTTCTAAAGTTTATTCAACAAATTTTTGGTTGTCATAAATTAATACATCTCAATGAATATTTAGACCACATATTTTCTTTGAAAATCTAAACTTTAGTCTTTTTCTTCTTTTCATCCTATAATGAAACAATATTTGAAATAACCAACAAACTTTAAAAAAATTTAATATTTTTAGAAAATTAGAATGAATGGCTAAATAAAACAAATTCATATCACATATCACACACAAGAGGAAGTCAAAATAAATATAGTGGAATATTAAGTAGATCCATGCTATTATTAAATAGATCCATCTTTGATGAAGAATATGATAATCATGATGAATATAGTTGATTTTTATTGGTTACAAATCCAATAGTAGAGGAATGAATCTAGAGGTCTTTTTTTTTTTTTTTTTTTTTTTTTTTCTTTCATGATGGTTAGAATGGGTGGATCAATTTAGTAAAAACTTGGATCTATTTAACATTCCCCTGAATAAATAATCAAATAATCAAAGGCATAAACAAAATCATAAACAAACAAAGGCGTATTTTGCACTTGTGTAAGGACTAGGTCACCTCTACTCACACAATTTGAGTCATGCTCCAGATGGAGGTGGGCACAACCCACTGCTGAAAGAAATTGATTTCCTTCAAATTTCTTTCATTATTCAGTTTTAGTACAACGCAGTTTTAGAGCCTCTAGACATGTCCCCCGTGCGTAGTTCCATTTGATGCCGTCAGCGCCTTATCGAACTAAATACTTGGCAGCATCTTCTCGAATTCCGTTTCCCTTCGATTGCTGTGTATAGCTCCTGTGTAAACCCTAAACCTGCCATTTGCAACTTCTTCGATAGCTTCTGTAGGTGTAATTGCGCTTGATCTTATCTGAGTTAGGTACTCTCCAGCTGTGGCTTAAGAATTTTTTTGAGAGTCTCTTCTTCATTGTGCTCTCAACCTCCCTAGCTGCCGTTGGGATTGCTTACTTGTACTTGCTACCATGGCGGAAGGGGTTGACGGAGGCAGTTACACTCGCTCCTCCTCTCATCATCTTCTTCAGCAAGAATTGAGCCGTATTAGCAGCAATGGAGTTTCTCCTGCCGTTTCTATGAACATGGATGACTACCGCAACGACTTGTGGGGTTATCCAGTGCACACCCGATCCGACACCTGCATTTCTTTCATTAATGAGTTTTATCGTCAAGTACGTGTCTGCATCTCTTCCTCGATTGCTTCGTGATCGCTTAGTTTGTAAATGCTAAAATTAGATGCCGTTAGCTAGCTGGTGAAGGTGATCGAAAAAACTACAGCGTTTCGTGATGCTTCAACTGGTTTCTACAGAGGGCTCGGTAAAGAATTCGGAAACTAGCTTGTTCTAATTGGTAGTTTGAATTAGTTGTGTGTCCTCGCATAGCTGGAAGATTGAAGCTCGTCTACTACCCTAACATTGCGAGTATTGAAGTAGGAACACTTGTGTTGTTTATTAATTTACTAATTTATTATCATATACTGGAGTTCCATCCACGGGAGTTGTCTTCCAATTGGATTTCACGAGAGCCGCTTCTTTTTTTGTGCTCCGAACTTAATCGTGATTCGCTGCCCCAATACTTCACATCAACTCTGCTCTTAGTGCAATGTATCACAAAATCTGCTAGTTTACTACGGGATTATTTCACGAAACCGAGCTTCTACAGATCCAAGAGTTTTCAAATGAACCACTAGAGTTTCGAAGAACCGCAATCACTCCTAGAAAGATGCGAGGTGAATGCTTTTTGCTCAGGCAGTCTCTTCTGATTCTGAATAAAAGTATTGAACTTGGATGAAGAGAACCTTTTACTAGTTGCACGGATAAACTTGTCTCTCGTTATCCATATGTCCGTCAAATATTGACGATCGCAACTAATTTTATTACACTTATACAATGCATGCGAGGTGCAAAGAAAGCCTACCTCGATTTTCTTATCTTTGTGTTTGTGGTTGTGACATATAAAGTTCTCCTCTGTAGTTGCTGAAAATTATTTTTGGTGATTGATGTCTGGTTTATCTGAAATAAACGAATGAAGACGTTGAAACTGTTAACTAAACAAGGTGTTGGATTCGCTTTGATACCCCCTTTTTGTGTGGTGTCACAGATGCTGACGTATGGTGCTGAACGGGAAGTTATCCTCAAGGCCACTGACGCGGATGGTAGTTGTGTTTTAGCATGTGCATTGGCAGCCGTTCACTTACTGACTCAGAAAAAACCAGACTTCGAAACAAATTCTTTCCTTTTCGCTGCTAATAAAAACCTGGTATTTTCATTTGTTCCCGTCTGGTTCGAATGGTTTTCGTTGGTTTCTTTATTGAACGGCGAATAGCAGTATCTAAGATGGGTTCAATTAATTTGTTTGCAAGTTTTGCTCCGTATGCAAGATGCGCAGAAATTGATCAAACAACAAAATGTCTTGTGCAGGATAAGGCTACGAACTATGAAAAGTCAGTGCTAGCAGTAGCCATGGCATGGGCAAAAGGTGAAACAGGAGAGGCGGTTGATTTGCATTTTCAGGTACGTCCTGCACTAAGCTATTATGTTCATTTCGGTTCTAAATATCGCTATCAATAACCTAAGGCAGATTGTGGATGGGTATTCAGATTTAAATAGTGTGCTCTCTGTATGAAATTACAAAGTTTTTTGAGTGCTATTTTTTCTGGACTAAGTAAATACTAATTATTAGTTCTGCGACGCTACATTAACGGTTGCTTCAACTCATCTTTAGGAGGTCACAACTATGATCTTTTTGTTCAAAGTTTGTAATGCCTGGCCTAGTGTAACGTGACGAAGTCAACGTGGTATCTACGTTGTATGTGCATGTTCTTAGCTTCTGGAGGAGTTCCCAAAAGATTTGGCATCTCTTAAAAAAGGTCAAACTCTCTGCTTTTACATGGGGCGGACACATGATATGCTACGGATGGCTGAGCTGGTAAGTGATACTATCATTAGGAGGCATATTAAAAATGTTGAGGCAGAGACAAATGTGGAGACGGCAATGAACTAGACATATGTACTGGGCAAAGTTCTGAATTTGAGTACTTTAATTCTTTTCACTTCACGTATTAGTTACTTCGCATGTTTTTTTATTTCCTTATTCAACCCATGTATTTTGTGTCTACTACTCTACAATAAGATTCTGTGTAGAGTTTGCAACACATCAAAGAGTTTGATAGAACGAGCTCACGATTTTATTGGTAGTATTTGTATGTATAGGTGCTTCCTGCAAACCGGGAAAGTCCATATATATATGGAATGCTGGCATTTCCTTTGTTGGAAGTGGGAGAGAGAATGCGAGAGGCAGAGGTTGCAGCCAAGAAGGCACTAAGCATTGAGCCTCATGATGTGTGGAGTCAACATGCGGTGTGAGCCTGCTGTAGCTTACATGCTCATAGTGCGAACTATGTCTTTTCTCAATAATACTCGCCATCACTTTTTGTTTACTATTTTTTGCAACCACTGTTGCAGGAGTATTGCACATGCGTTTGTTTGTTGTATTAACATTATGCTTGGTGATTGTTTTTTATTAATGTTGCGCAAAAATCTTATATGTTACTCTGTCGTTGAATGCTTAGAATTTTCAAACGTGTGTTTTTCTGTTGGTGCAGCTGGGCCATGTACTTCAGTATGAGTGTCGTTTTAAAGAAGCATTGACATTTGCAGCTAGTTGCTGTGACACTTGGATCTCTTGTTGTTCATTCATGTAAGTCACTTATTTCTCGTCCTTTTGCAATATATGTATTGTATCTTCCATCTTGTGTCAGAACATTTTGCGACTCCAGCAGATTATGTTTCTTGTTTAGCCCATATCCAGCGTCGATTCGTTGTTGATGTAGATAACAACCGACGCAGATGACTATGCGATGCCTACTCTTCATTTCTATAATGTTATTTTGTAAGGATGTTACGGCAAGGATGTCAACTCGCTTGTTGTCAATTGTTTATGGCCATGTACACGTGACGCAAACCATGTACTCCATTTGTGTTATTGAGTATAATGCTGTAGTGAGTGAATAAATACTTCGAATACTCTTTCTCTGTACATTTTATCAGGTACGCTCATAACTGGTGGCATTTAGCCTTATGCAAGTTGGAGCTGGGTGGCAAAGGCGCCTTGGAAAGTGTTGTCACGATCTATGATACTCATATTTGGAGCAGCAATGCCGCTGCTAATAACTCCCAGGTGTGTTTGCATCGATTATTCCTGTTCTTTCTGAATTACTGGGACACTCAATAAGTCGATGCCTCTCCCCAGGATTGTTTAAGTAGGTAGTTTTGAATATATGGAGTCCTTCATATTGTGAGCAGTACGGGAATGACCCACGGGCTTTCAACCGCTGCACAGTCCTCAAGAAAGTGCTCTTGATCTATTTTTGCTCTTATTCTCACATTTCGCTTCTAATTCCTGCCAAGCAATAAGTACACTGAAGATCTGCTTGGTTGCACTATTATCATTGACGAAATTATCACAGTCTATTTGTTTTGAGGCCATGTTTTAACATTTGATATGTTGGGAAACTGATTGTAGAATCGCATGGTCTTTTTTTAATGTGTTTGCTCCAGGATTGCTTAAATGCACTTGGTCTGCTGCTTCGTCTTGATATCAGAGGATACAACGATATTGTGACTACAAAAATAGCTGATATGCAGACATGCCTGCTTGATGAGGTAGAAGCTGAATCTTTGGTTGGAATTTGGAGTTGAATTTTGTCCATGCTGCATATATATGCTCTTGAACCGTGCCGATGACTTATTTTCACTCCAACCACAGCGTCTTAAGAATATCAGTGTGTCGATTCCATATGAGTACTTTCAATAATAACTGACTTGAGTGAGCTTTCTTTATTTTTGTTGGATCATGACCAGCAAAGGTGGCATACTGAGTGGCATCAAGACCTCTTGATGGTTTGGGGGCTATCCCGAGGAGACCACAAGGAAGTGGCTCGAAAGCTGCTGCAGAACTTGAAGCTCAGGCAAGCCCGTGTTTCCTGATACCGTAATTTTTTTTTCTTTTGAAATAATTGGAATAGGTGTCATGCGAACGAACATCCTAAGCACCAACTCTGAGGTCTCTAAATCATTGAGCATAGTTAGCACAAGTACGTTACTGTCCCTCGTAGTTAGGGGTATACGTCTGTGTTCCCCAGCTACAGATTTGTGCAAAATAAGTATTCTGATGGTCTGTGCTGTACATTTTATTGCAGAGTGGAGAATATGAAGGGAGAACAACAGAAGCCTTTGTGGCCCGTGATTTCAGTATGTATTCTCTAATTTGGTCGATGCTCTTATTTGTTTGTGTCTCATTCAATTACTATTCCATGTGATTTCATGGAATTCAACTCCTGATAGGAATTTGATACTCCAAGTCCGTTTCGGGTTTTTTGATTCTGACAGCTTGCAGAGGCGTTGTACGAGTATGGAGTTCGCAATTTTGGGGCTGTTTGCGATTTGCTGGGACTTGATTCTAATCTATCCAAGTACAAGGTAATGGTGTGGTTGCTATTTGTAAGCAGTCCTGCGAAAGCATTCTTAACGCTCTTGATGCGTTCCTCCTTTCTGTTGTGTTCTTTGAGACGCATTCTGCAGATTTTAAAATACATTTTAAAATACTGTTGTTATTGTTTTTATTACTACTATCATTAATACTAAGAATTGGGGGTTTGACCTCTATGACCTTAGGTGATGGGCGCATCCAATGAGCAGCTAGACGTTTTCCAAGAATTATGGTGTGTCGCTTTTTTACGTGCTGGAAACCCTCTGCCAGGTGTCTTTTCCTTGACTAAGCTGTCTTTTTTAGCCTTATGTTTTTTTTTGCTTCTGAGTTTCTGTATATTCTGTAGCAAGTTTAGCACTACACCATACTCAGAATTGGAGGTTTTGTGTTGGTATTTCGAAGTGGTGGAAGTTGCGGAACAACGAGTTTTGGAAAGAAGTGGAATTCCTTTTACTTGGCGTCTTCTAGTATGTTTCCATTTAATCGACTGAAAACTGCTGGGCATTTTTTTAGTATTGAGACATTCAAAGCTCTTTGGTTGCTGCATTATTTAATTTGTATGTCAAGCTCTTGACTGCCACTTCCAGTTAGAAGTACACGCGTTGCATTTGAGTAACGCTCTCTGGAATAAATTATTTGCATGTGAAATTCATTTTTTGAGGTGTGATAGGTGCAGGCATATTCAGCCGTTGGACAAGAAGCGAAGGCAAACATGGCCAGTGCATCTGTACGTAAACTGGAGGCAGCAGCAGAAGCTTTGGAAAGCTAGACTTGTCATTGTCACTCAAATAGTTGCTCAGTCACCTGATGTAATGTTGTCGAGTGCGGTATTGTAGGCTTTGTAACAACTTCGTGTCCGTAAGGTCTTTCGATATAACCATAATATGGAATTTTGGCACTAATTAGAGAAGTTTGTGCATGTCTCGGCAAAAAGTTGTCATTTTGGGAGGTGGGGTGAAAATTTAGAGATGGAAAATGTGCTTAATTGTAGAGGACATGAATAGATTTATCCTTATTGTGGGTAGAGAGTATATTATGTATAAATAGACATCATTTGTTTACTTTTTAAAATATATTTAAATTTATAGAATGAAATAATGCAGATAGATGTTCTACATAATTGTTACGTTCTGGATGTTCATGACAGGCATGTTTAGCTGTGAGATAGTTGCAATTACATTGAAAGTAATTTTCACAAAAATGGTTGACAATTTTGTTTGAAAACTTAAGTGTAGGGATAACATGTTGAAGTAACGATCAAAGTTTCCAATACCACTTGGTAAGCGCCTTGTCATACAAAGAAATCGGGATGCTGGGAACAGCTTATTCTACAAACTCTTCCATCATCTGAATTAAAGATGAGCTTCAATACCAATGTACATCTGAATATGTAGCTTCTACATTTTGCAGATAATTGTTAAGAGGCACATGACAAATGCAGACCCCGGCTACCCATGACTCTTCAGCTCTGCCACAAATACTGAGCGCTAATATACAGCCGGCCAAGTGAGAGCCGACCAGTCAATCTACAACCTCCCTGATCAAAATGGGTAATCATCATATCTAATGAACCACAGAAGAAAGTTGAGCAAAACTTTGCACATACCTATCATAAGAGCGTGTCTGAAGCTACCAAAACTATACCACCTACAACATCTACTTGAATTGCCATAATGATACCACTAGTCCCAAGCGCTGCTACCTCCGTAACCACCACCACCATTGTATCCACCGTGATGGCCTCCACCACCTCCTCGACCACCTTCTCTACGGAAATCACGTCCTCCGAACTTCGAACCTCCTCCAGACCGCCTGCTCCTACCTCCATAACTAGCTCTAGTGGCAAAGTTCGTTAACCATCCTGGGACCTCTTGGCTAGACTCTGTCATCAGCTCTGTCAAAGATCTTGCTAATGACTGGTCCTTCTCATTGAAAAAGGCCGTGGCAACACCACTCTTCCCGGCACGCCCTGTACGCCCAATACGATGTACATAGTCATCGATGTCATTCGGTAAATCAAAATTCACAACATGTGCGACATGTGGAATATCCAACCCTCTAGCTGCCACATCCGTCGCAACAAGAATAGGCGTAACTCCTGTCCGGAAGGATCTCAAAGCATGTTCTCGCTCCTGCGTTGGAAACACCTCTCAGGAATCAATTCCAAGACAACCAAGACGAGATTGAATGAAGAGCAAACGACTGGAACTGAGAGACGTGCAAATATCACAAGCAACTTGTCTACACTCCATCACAACTTTTGGGTATACAATCCTTATAATAATCCTTCATAGATTCCATACCAATACTCAAAGCCAACACCTTTCACAACTATCCCAAAACAAATATATAAAAGTTAAAAATAAACATGCCTGTTGACTTCGGTCGCCATGAATTGTTGTCGCAGGAAAACCCATGCGACACAGCCAGTCTTCCAATGCATCTGCACCTTTTTTTGTCTCGACAAATACCAACGTCAACGATGTCTGCCCAGGAGGAGCCAAAGCGCTCTGAGCATGGATCAGGTCCATAAGCATACTGCGCTTGTCTGCATCTTGAACGTACTCTACGCGCTGCACAATCAGTTCCGTACTAGATCCCACCCTGCCTACAGCAAGGAATATGTAGTTCGACAAGAAATCCGATGCCAATCTCTGCCAAAACAAAATTGCCAGAAACAGTCAAATACTGAACAAGTTTCCCATACGAAGTCTGATCATCATAGAAAGTATTGTCCATACAACTAATGAATACCGCCAGAGTTACGTGTACAGAAAATTAACAGACTCACAGAAGATGGTGCACCACAGAAGTAGATGAAAGTCAACATCATCCCACAACCACCAAAACTGTAGTGAATTGAGCAAAGAAATCAAGTCCATTAGTACCTGAATTTCTCTTGGAAAGGTGGCACTGAATAGCATTGTTTGACGCTCACCAGCCGGTGGCATATCCATCTGCTCTACTATTCTGCGAATCTGAGGTTCAAAACCCATGTCCAACATCCGATCCGCCTCATCCAACGTCAAATATCGTACCATAGACAAGGAAACCCTAGCTCTCTCCAAAAGGTCACTCAGACGTCCTGGGGTTGCGACAAGAATGTCAACACCTCTTTCCAACTCCCTAAGCTGCAAAACAAAGAAACTCAATGTTAACATAGAACGAAACATTATTCGTGTTGGAACAGAAAACATTGGCAGACACAAGCTTAGGAACGTAACAATCAGATTTTAATTGTTGTTCTTGGCCTAGGCACCATTTCGGATTGCAATGACAAATGAGCATAAGATACACACCTGATTGTGAACAGGGGCACCACCATAACAGACCACTACTCTAATACCAGTCTGGTATGCAAATTTCTTAGCCTCGTCGCTGATCTGCAAAACAATAGCGATGTATGTCAGAACAGTTCCATAACAAACTTTAAAATAACCAGTATTGCAATGAAAGATTAACATATACTCCGTGGACCTTAACGACTATTAACACTTATCCGAATTCAACAAATTCCATGTCACAAAATAGCAGTCATGTACATATACCAATAATTGTATTTCACATTCCTCCATGAACCCGTCCATCTCAATCTTAGTCGCTACTTTACTCACCTGGCTTGTCAACTCCCTAGTTGGCGATAGAATAAGAGCTAACGGCAGTGCCTTTCTTCCGCCACGAGGTCGCCCAGGGGGAGTGTTCCTCATTATCCCCGCGATAATAGGGAAACAGAATGCCGCGGTCTTCCCACTCCCCGTCTGGGCGCAAGCCATCAGATCTCGACCGTTCAAACTTATTGGTATGGCATGCCTCTGCACCGGCGTGGGCTTGGTGTACTTACATCTCCGTATGTTTTCATTCAGTGCTGCACCGAGATCTATTTCGGCAAATGTATTCACCGGAGGAGGCACGTTGTTCCCGCTTGTCTCCACCGGTATATCCTCGTACGCGTCAAAATTGATACCCGTGTTCTCTGCCTCGAATATATTCTCTGCGACTGGCCCATCATTTGCGAAAGGGTTAACCTCCCTCTCCCAACCTCCTCGCCGACCTCTTCCTCCATGTCTATAACCCCTACCTGAACCACTCGAATTTCCCCAGCTCGCCACATGGTTTACTCCTGAACCAGCGCCCCACGCCGATCCATTCCCGGTCCTCGTTGCAATTCCACCATTCGCTTCAGGCCCAGGAGCTGCAATAGCGTTTGGGTTGGCTCCAGTCGAACCTTTTGGTGCAATATCCACGTTGTTGCTCACTCCACCTCCTGCGGAAGCACCCTGAGGACGGCCTCGCAAATGAGGAGGCACGTATGATGGTCTAGCAGAGCGACCACCGGTCGCTCCTGCTATAATTCCATTCTCAGTGACCACCACCTCGGAAGTCGACTCTCCCCATGTTAAAGGCATATCTATCCCGAACGCCTGTTTTATCTAGCCTCCCAACAATCCCTTAATGTCTTGAAGATTTGAACGCGCTCACTCGTCTGATTCAAAGAGGCTAGGTAATTCAGACAACACAAACAATGTCTGCACTCCCAACCAAGTAAACAATGGCAAATTCTTTATCAGCACACGCAGTTCCAAAAGCGCTTCACTAAAAAAGATCGTAACGATATCGAGTAACACACTCCACGGCCAAATTAAATCTAAACAAGCGCGAAAGACAAGAAGGAGCAAACCAAACAAAACAAAAAACAAAAACAAAAACAAAAAAACAAAAAAAAAACAAAACAAAACAAAAAGTCAGGTAAGTAAAGAACGCAAGAAACAACCACCAGTATTGAGTTCTTCAGAGAACGAAAGCAGCGAACAGACACGAAACAGGACAGCAACACAGCGCTCCTAAATAGGGGGCTTCATGGCACGTAAAGAAAGAGGAGTAACCTCGAGAAAACTCGCGGAAGGCATTCACATTGAAAGGGAAGAATAAGTCAAAATTCGAAGATTCAAAATACAAGAAACTTCACAAGACCAAAGAGAGAAAGAGAAGCTGAACGGGGAAAGAAGTCGCAACCTGAGCGAGAGACGGTGCCCATGACCCGTCAGCGGCAGGCGAGGAAACGACTACAAGTTAGAGACAACGACGACGACGAAGCGCAGTGCAATGGTTGTTAAAAATGCAAGACGGAGTCCGAAGCTACGGCCTCAACTGAGCCATGTGGAGAGGATCTACGGGAGAGGAGACGAGGGAGGCACAGCGTTTCCGAGTCATAAACGAAACAGAGAGAGAGGGACCGAGACCGAAAGATCCGTGGCAACGGCGCGACGAGGAAGCCCAAGGCTGGCCAAAAATCAGCTCCCCTCTCGAAACCCTAATTCCAGTGGAGCGAGCGAGCTTCGTTTTGGCCCTGTTCCCACGAGGGGGCCGAAAAAGATAGGCCTTCTTCCCACATTTCTCTCAGTGACTAAATGTTTCACTCGTAAGCACTTGGACACACTTTGATAAAAAAATTAGTTGTGGCTCATAACCAACACCATGTTTGTGGTCTTGTTGATTTCGATCTACCAATGCCTGCAAACATTCAAACACTTGTAACTTTTGGGTTTGAGTGTGCAGTGGGTTTTAGAATTTTTGTTTACTGCAATTATAAGATACAGCATTGAAATTTTCAAGTGATTTGAACCGACTTAACATACATACAATATTCAATATTGATAATTGCATGTTAATGTTGTTACAATGTTTGTTAAATAATGATGATAATAATGATACATGTTTTCCTTGTGTTTTATTCTTTTCTTCAACTTATTATTATTTCAAAACAGTTTGTAAAGAAAAACTCGGTCCTTTATTTTGTAATCTAAACTTGAATGTTTATCCATTTTATATTTCATGGACAATATTCTATAAAATAAATTTTGGCTCCTTTTTAAGTTGTTATTTTAAGAAATTTTAATATCATACGTAAACATATTGAATGGTATATATATATATGTAATTCAATTGCATGAGTATTCTAATAAACTGTTAGTTAAAATTTATCTTTTACAATGTAATTGCTTTTAAACATCATAAAAAAAGTTAAATTGTATCACTGCAATATCCAGTAATCAAAATCATGTCATATTGATTCAGATCCATTTGAGCATTAGAAGCTTTTTATTATCATAGAATTATAAACTTGCATACTTAATACAATAATTCATGTAGTATCATAATATTATAGTTTAGTTGTAATTATTTTTATAAAATATTTTCTATGTTGAACTTTTTCTGATACTATTTGAATGATAATACTATTTTTACTCAGATATTACTTAAAAAATATATTTTAATTATTAAAAATATATATTGTGTACTTCATATAGAAGTTGTTTTAATTTTTTGATTGTTACATCTAAAGATAGAAAACATTATAAATATTTGAATGACAAGATATCAATTAAAAAATATAGCATGGATCAAAAGCCTATTATAGTTCTAAGAACAAAAACTTATTGTCTAATTAGTGGGTGGGGAATAGAAAGAAGGTCCAAACTACATTGTCTATTTTATGGAAGAAAAGATGCATGTATATGTGCAAAATAAATTTAAAAAATTATCAGTAATTTATTTGGAATTAAAAATTTGTAAACTTAAAGTATATACAAAGTACTATTGAACAAATTAATTACTACAATTTCTTTTATTTAGCACAAATATTACATTCTTTATAATAAATTTTGTTTCTATTACTATTATATTATAGTAGTTTGTTTTGTAATTGACTATTTTTATGTTTGGTTGTTTTTACATTAATTAGATCTTTTATGTAAAAAATATATATGAATTTATACTAAAATATTGTAGTGTATAATAATTGTGAAGAAAATTTTGTTTCATTGTTTCAATTAAATCTTAGTTTTTACAATACTTATTTTAAATATAACATAATTGATATATTTATCAAGTATTATTAATAATTATAATAATTATATTTTATTAATTTTTATATTAATAAATATTTTCTCTATAATTTATTATAAATCTATAGCTATATTCAAATAAATATTATATATATATATATATATATATATATATATTCATATGTAATAAAATAAATTTAAGACATGGTCTTAATTTTGGAGAAATTTTTGTTATTTGTTTAAAAACTTTTCTTAAAAAAAATTATAACATTACAAAAATAAATTCTTTGGCAATGATACACATCAAATTACAATATGAGTTACAAAGATCTATATTATTTAAATAAATAAAAGTAAAGAAAACTTTATTAGATCAATGATGTATTTCTAATAACATTATTACACACACCATGCAACTATAATAACCTTCAAAAGAACTTTTTTACTTCTAAAGAACTGTTATGGAAGCATTTAACAACTTAGATTTTTAATTTTTAATTTTTTTTATATAGTCATATGGTCAATAGAAAGGTTTCTAATTGACTTCGTTCTAATCAAAATATATGGATGTAAAAATAAGGCCATTCTTAATCTTATCACTATCTTTCTTTTACTCCACTCTTTGTTAAAGATTTTCTAATATATATATTCTTCGTATAATTGTTCTTTTTTCTTAGCTGTACATGAATATATTATCTTTTAATAAGTTTGTTTATACTTATATTTTTGGTTGTTTAACAAGACTAATATTTGTAAAATTTGAACTTAATTTCTTAAATAAAAAACTATATAGATTATTTTCTTGAAAGTAGTTATTAATTTAACTAAAATTATATTTTAACTAAATTTAATTTAATTATAAATATATATTTTATATATGGTATTTTTTAGCATGTCTGTAAAATTATTTGATGGCATAATTGGTAGAAATAAAGAATTTTGCAGAAAATATAAAAAAATATATATAAGTTGAATAATTTATTTTTTTGGATTACAACATTAGTTAAAAAAATATTGTTATATCTACTTAATGCTCTAAAATTAAGTCAAGAGATTGTTCTTGATATTAATTTTAAAACTTATTTAGTTAAATTTTGTTTAAAGATTTATAAAATCACACCTTCATGATTTTATAATATTTTGGAAACAACTATTATGTTGTAAAATGTTTTAAAATTATAATGTTCATTTATAAGTGCAAATAGATGTTTTGTAATTTAAGGCTCTTATGATACCAAAAAAGATATTAAATTTTAGATAAACAAACTAAATTTGTCTTGTTGATCTCATATTTTCTTTATAAAATTTATTAAATTCTGTAAATAGATTTTTATGTTTTTTAAACCAAAAAATAACATTCAAAATGATTTGAATAATATGAATTTAAATAATAAATATATTTATTTTAGAATATTTAATAATATATTTTAGAAAGTTAAGAATAATTATATAAAATTCAAGAAAGCTCACAAACTTTGTAGATGTAAATTTGATTTTCAATATCACTATGTGACTTTCTTACTTTCTTAAGGAATCTGTTTAACTTTTAAAACGACATTATGGAAGTGTCTCACAACTTAGACACTTTGTTTGTAGTCCTTAGGAATCTTTCTTATGGTCTTTTTACTAATTGTAGTAGCAAGATTGAGCTTCATACTAATACTTATCAATTACAAATATAAAAAAGTAATAATTTGAATTGTTTTAGAACATATCAAGTCTTTAAAAACAACTAACAAATCAAATTCAAGTCTAATACATAATTTAATCTATTCTTAGAGTTAATATTTTTGCTACATAGTAATTTATTTTGTTGTATTATGATCCTCAAATACATGAACTAAAACAAGTTTGGCATATCATTAGAGTTGACATTATTATCAAATGTCAATTCATTTTCTATTGTATTATTTGCCAATCTATTTTTACACAAACAAGGACACATTCTTGATTGCAAATCTTGATTCTAACAAATCCTAAATCCTAAACATGTTTTGAATATATCCAATTACTTTCAATGGCAAATTTCCAAAAAAATTATTAATAGAATTTTAAAAAGTTATTACTTTCAATGGCAAATTTTAACAAATTATTACTTTGAGGAACTAAATTACATTAGTTGAGAATCCTGATTGACTGATACTTGTCAACTATTAATTAAATATTCTATAACAAAAAAACTATAGAAACCATGGAGAGAAATATAAAACAAAATAAAGTACAAACAATCAAGCTTCCGATCAGATTCGAACAGCTCTCCGTCGCCCTTACCGACATCCAAATCCGTGTCTAATCGATATCCTCCTTCATTTTCATCACCTCGTCGTCGTCGTCGCCTCAGGTGTTTTCGCAAAGAAGCATCGTATTCTTCAGACCCTGATCTCTTGTCTTCGATGCTCGGTGCTGATCGCCTTGAGGCTGTAGAACCTGGCTTTGTTGCTCACATCGGGAGGAGCAGGCAAGACGTCGAAGTGATCCGCGTCGATGGAGCTATCCATGGATTCCTCGAGCGTCTCGTCGTTTATCCAGGTGCAAACAATTGGGTTGAAGATCCACAGGTTGCGTCCATGAAACCGGACACTCGTGAACTCCAGATTCATAAGCAACGCTTGATTCCCGTAACGCAGACGCCTCAGGATCCTTCGCCGTTGGTGTTGTGGTTCGCTGCGTAAGTCCAGCTGATGGATGCGGTGGGTCAATGCACTTTAGCCAATTGCTCGGATAAATTAATTCATTCCATCACACTTCCACGGGCTGATTATGCTGAACAGGACTGTTGCGGAAAAATTACCGCCTTGTCAAAGCTACGGTTCTGAAGGCACACGCGGATCCCTACGACGAACGCGAGAATTCCCATTCTGCCATCGACCATGATCCCCATGCACTGCAGAAAATTCCAAACCTTGTGATACATTCCTATCTGGTACTCGTTCATGCAGCAGTGGACATTCTCTGTGGGCCACTGTTACTTTACTCTTCTATCCCTGAAAATGGGTTGCTGCCTCGTCAATACTGGAAGGATCTGATGCTAATGTGCATCCTTCATCTTCTACAACTCACATGTTGCTGCTTCAACATCCTGTAGTGGGTCTCAAAATGAAACTTAACTGTTTGTGAATTAATTGTCAAGCATAAATTAGCAATGGCTGTTGTATTTGACTTGCATTCCAGCAATTGTTGCTCTAGATCTAAGAAGGCTTGTTCCAAAGTGTTGTTGAATGATTTTCCACTCATCTTTTTGTTCCTTCACCTGCTTCTTGTAATTAATAGTCCTATCAGACGCAAGTCTAGGTTTTATTTCACAGATGAGCTAATTTTCTTAAAAAATTCTAAAATACTTCCTAGCAAGTGCTTTGAGATTGCATCCTCTGACTTTCTTCTATTATTGTTGTTTTCAATCGTTCTTGTTCCTACAACTCTTTGTAAAAGGCAGAATCTTGTAACTTTTAATATTATCTATTATATTATATATCTATATTCTAATACTTCTAAACCTCCAACTTAAATATCTTTTTGCTTTTTTTATTAATTGTATATATATATATATATATATATATATATATTTTTTGCTTTTGCTTTTTCTTTTCATACTGTTTGTAGATTAATTAAAATTTTGGCACCTTCAGTTTTCGTGAGAGTCTTTCTTTCATCTACTCGAATAAGTATACATCACAAATAAATAATTATTTTTCTAAATTAATTTAATTCTAATACTAAATAATTGGAAAAAAACTATTTTTTAAAGTACAATTTTTATGATATTGTTAGAAATTTGCATTATATTGTTAATATTGCATAGTAGACCAATTTTGCATAATATTATTTGCCGAATCACGTTTTAAATTTGCATCGAAGTTTAATTTCTGTATCAATACAAAATGTTATTCTTACCAAGTCCATTATACTATTACTGATCTTTTTTGGGTACAAAAGCTACTTGTCTCCATTTATAAATAAATTATATATGCACACACACACACACACACATATATATATATATATATATATATAAACATCTACATATATCTTAAAGCTTTCATTACTTTATAATTTACTTATATATATAAGATTTTCTAAAACAATATTATATTTTGAAACTAAAATTGTATTGGATATATCTTTATTTTTTACACTTAAGAATATACTTTGTTCTACTTGTTTTAAATTATTTTTTGAATTAAATAAGATCTATCAAATAATTTCAAAGCTATAATTTATAATATATTAAATAATATCAAATAAAATGTATCTATTGTATCCTATACTCTAAATCCTAAACTTTATAATTTTTTAATAGAATTACAAAAAAAATTGTTAACAAAAGCAATAAAAAAACACAAATATTTGAAGTGTTTTTTCTAAAACCAGTCTTCATATATTGTTATAAAAAATATATTGTTTATTATAATTTCATTAACAAAGAAATTAAATTAGAAGTAATAATATATTTTAATATTTAGCTTGTGTAGGTTATGCATAACTTTGTTTGGTTTTTTGCATTTACATTGCATAATTTTAAATGACTTCTATCAAGTGTTGATTTCCTTCAATCTATCACAAGTCAAGCCATGTTTTGTACCTTTTATTAAAGTAGTATTTCAAATAAAAAGTTGAGCAATCTAAAAGAAAAAATTGCTGGTGCAAATTTCTACAAAATATGAATGTAATTTTTTTTGTAGAAACAAACTCTAGTTTTGAAAATTGCAATAAACTACTAATAGAAGTGACAATAGAATTTATTTGAAGAGGTACACAAGTACTAAGAAATGTTATAAGAAATATATTTTGTTGTAACTACATAAAGAATCTGACTACACGCATCTCAGAATCATGAAGAGTGTTGTTTCTGAGAATCTAAAGGGAGATGCTCAAAACATTCCTTTGCCAGTCTTACGACCATTTTCATTTTCTTCGCTTCCTGACCAGACAAATATAAGGAAACTCGTTCATGACAAAAGAAATGGGTTGATCGCTGCGATGTGCGAGTCTCAGGGCGCGTCAGAAAGGCAAGTTTTTGCTCAAGTTTGGTCATTCATGCGACACCTTTTTCTGAAGTGAAAGGTAATGCTATGTGAAAAACCGGATCTTATGCGGCGGGCCTGCAGTTGCAACGGAGAAAGATAACCTCAAACGTGGGAATGAAGACCGACAGTTGGAGGGGGACACTAATTACTGAAGAATGCCATGAACAGTTCAATCTGAAACATGAAGGCGGTGGGAATATGACCAAGTTGTTGCACACCCAGAAAACTGGTAAAGCGTGTACAACCGCTTGATGAGAGTTTTATTCTCAGAACTGAAAAGGAGATAGCTTCCTTTTCACAGTGTCCGAACTGTGTAGGAATATTGATCAAGGAGCCAGAGCTTTATTACATTAGCTTGCAGTATCATGAGTATCTTTTCAAAGCTCTACAGATCTTAGTAAGCTATAGTTACCCTTCGCCATGAATGTTCGGTTTTCATGAGCATTGAATTAATCCTCCGCATGGCTACCCTTTACTGCGAGCAACGTCTGTTTTGGGTTACATTTATGGCCTCTGACCGATAACGTTACCTGGAGGATCGTAGCTGCACACAACAAACTTGCCGCCTCCCGGGCAGTTCGCCGATCCGCACCCAACGAACTTGGTATTCCTCCAAATGACCTGAAAAGATGAGACAATGGGTACACGACATCAATCAATTAACGAGTCTTACTCTGAATAATCCGACACGAGCTTGTTTTGAGGCCCAGGCCAGGTTCTGTACACAGTTTTCTTGCGGCAATTCCTATGTCCTGTCGGATAGGAATACGAGTTCGAAGCTTTGATGAAGTGCAACACGAAGCATCGAACTTATACCTGTGTGTAATGGCCGCAGACTTTGTTAGTCTGGCAAGTGTTGCTAGCGACGTTGTACCACTGCTTCTCGGCTACCCAGGCCTTGACGGCATCTTGGGGGGTGGACGATCCACTGGACCAATAGATGTTCTCGCCGTATGCTCCTTTCGAATGCGACAATGCGCAATTAGCCTTCGTGGAGCGGTTGTTCGCCCAGTTGGTGGCGTAAGTCTGCAACTTAGTGCTCCACTGCAAGGCAGGAGCGCCGAATGCTGCGCGCGCATCGTTGTGAGGTTTCAAGTACTGCTCGGCCACTGTCTGTCCTAATGCGAGATCTAGCAGCGTCGCCGCTAAGACGACCAACACAGCCAGGACCTTCATCTTGCTTACCACCCAGAAAAACTCGCACAACGTCTCAATGCTTATGAACAAGGAGATCAACAGCAATCAACAGTCATCTACTTGAGAGTGTTAAGTGCTTGTGTTCGGGTCACATTTTCACTTAATTTATATGCTCACAATGACCTCAATTTCGGGGCGAAAAGTAGTTGCTAAAAGAACAATTCTGCGCGTATTTTTGACGATACAGAGAACTGAGAATAGTAGGTGCGATGGTTAAATAGTAACACTGGACATGATGGTTGCAACATATGGTAAGGATAAGCTTTCCTTGAACGAGGTAAGGATGAACGAGGTAAGGATGAACGAGGTAAGGATGAACGAGGTAAGGATGAACGAGGCAAGGATGAACGAGGTAAAGATGAACGAGGTAAAGATGAACGAGGTAAGGATGAACGAGGTAAGGATGAACGAGGTAAGGATGAACGAGGCAAGGATGAACGAGGTAAAGATGAACGAGGTAAAGATGAACGAGGTAAGGATGAACGAGGGAGATCATGAATTAAATCTAAAGTCCGCAACGAGCAATTGCCCAAGACTATGAGACTCAGAATTGGCATCTTGCTTCGTTGAGCACGATCTTCATCTCCCGCAATCTGTATCATCATTCATGCAATCTAAGGCATCACCTAAACTTCTGCGATTCCTCAGCAGCAGTCGTCGAAGCCAATCGTTTGTATCGTTCATCTCTGTTTATTTACGTTTTTCTTGCTGCGGATTTTTTTGCTTGATCACCAGATGGACGTTGGTAGGAAAAAATTCAATACAACGTACCATTGGATTGAAGCTGAATTTTTCAACAAATCAATTGGATGAATCATGCATGAATCAAGCTAATCCGGAGGTAGATGTATTTAATCTGCTGCGTATAATTAAGTCACCAAAAGTCGCAAAGGATGAGATCTGCTGCGGCTGATTGTGTACTAGTAGCAACAGTACGGAGATGGTCCGAACTCAGAAAGTTGGTACGTTGTTGGTGATCTTGTACATGTGGCTAGCTACATCAGGTATAGAGGAGATATATAGTTGTATAAAAAATTTTAAAACAGAATGATATAACGCAGGAAAGAGATCTACTTGTCTACCTACGTTTTGTCTTCAACAGTTACATTATGCTGTTGACCATACGCTTTCGAGGAAGCGTATTTCTTGACGATGTACAGGAAATGTTCTTTTTAAAATAAGCCGATTAATCTTGTTGAGCTGTGCAGGAATAAATCCACAGTATGTGTTTAATTTAGTATATCACTTCCTTAGAACTAGTTCACCTAACATTCTGCATCTACGTCCCAGTCAATGCATCGGGGAAGGACATGTCAGTTGAGAGACGACTGACTCTTTTGCTTCTCTTACCACTCTGTTTAGGTTCCACACACGCCCATCACGTCAAACACAGGCCCGTCGCTCTGATCCCCTTCCGATCAATTTCGAGATCTCTCCTTCCAGTAAAACCCGAATACTTGGAAATATATACAAGGGACTCAGCGTAATGATTGTGGGCGACTTTTTATGAATGCCAACTAAGAAACCCAATATAAATCTGTGTTAATAGGCTCATCTCCCAGGTTTTGTGGGAGTGCTCCCGTGCACTATGGCAATCAATGGAAGCATTGGCAAAGAGTGAATCTTTAGTTGTGTGACAATGAGACCGAACAAAGTGCGCCTTGGATGATCAATACTCATGTTATTGGCCACGTTCAAAATTAGGTGGTAAGAAACCATTCTCTACATCATGCTTTGGGTAAGACTGATGCATGTGTACAAAAACTGCTACTTCTCAAGGATGAGAAGAATATAAAAGTGAGCCAGAGAAACATAAGTTGTGCGAAGGAAACCCCCACCCAGGCCTCCAAAACAGTAATGACAATATTTTGACAGAGCACAGAAATGAGTACGAGTGAAACGTCCAGGCCAGCAGAAGAAACTTGATTCTCTTCATTCAACTACGTCGTGATAATGAACGAACGTTGGCAGCCAGGATCCCAATACCCACATCCCACATTGGTGCCATTGCTGCAAAACTGCCATTAGTAAACAGTGGAAACTCCAGGGGGTGTTATTGACACTCGGAATATCAAAATAGCACACATAAGCAGGAGTTATATACCAAGCGATGCGCACAAAGTCAATAAGGAGATGCCTCCTGAGAACGGAGACAGCGTAAACGCCAGAGCCTCAATCGAAACTCGTTCCAGAACCCTCATGAAAGGAGCACCTAGATCACCTCATTCGCCAGGGCTGAGGATGACCCATTCAGATCTTTCCATGTATGTCAAAAAGTATCCTGATGATCATCGTCAAGAACACGATCTCAATTTTGTGATTTGATACGTGTAGAGAAGAAAAATCCTGCCTCCTATCGTTCGTGTAAATCACTCAAAATTGCTTCTGCGTGCTTGTGTGTGTACAATGTCATCGTAGTTTTGGGATCACCTTCAATGCAGACACAATGGAAGTGTTTATGACTGAGCATTAGACCAATGTCCGAGATTTATGAACAGGAATGTCATGTTGCTCTGATCAAGGTAACCAACTTAATCGTGGACTAAATTGAACCATTCCGTTTATCCGATCACCCGAGAAAAATCCATTCATCGATGTATTCCAGAAATTATCCGCTTTTAAAGGACATCTCCAACACTGGTCAGCTCTACTGTAAACTGTTGTCCTAAATCCTCCACCCCTCCGAGGTCCAGTCATGACTAGATAGTCTCCTCCTGCGGTTATTTCCATGTGATAGATCCCAAAATGCGAAGGATCGAATTTTCTTTGTACCGCCTTAGGCACCTCAATACCAGTATCCATCCACCCTTTCGAATCAGGTCCCTCATCCCATTCGTAGAATATAAAGCGGCCATTTGATGGATTCCTTTCAATTGTCATCACACGGCCGTCCCACTCAAAAAGAACATTGCGTTGTTTATCACTGAGTTCTTCATGCCATTGCCCGCTTCTGGTGTCATAGAACAAGAGCATATGCTGATATCTGTTATCTGAATTCATCTCTGACGGAAAGTATATGACGCCATTATTTGAACGAACACCTCCTCTAGTTGAATTATTCCATGTAAAACCATGACTCCGAAAAATGTAAGGCTTCGGTTCGGACCAAGTGCCAGTTGTGGAATCATATATCTCCATTACCAAGGGTCCGTCGTCATTTATGGTACTGTAATCCTTGCTCTGTGAGACTGCCCTCCAATGAGCCATCAAAATTTTGTAGGCCTTCGTGGTGTCATCCGTCACAAAAGCATGCACATAAATAAATGATTCTCCTACGGCTAGCTTACAAGGGGGCAGTATCTTCCAATTGCCGGTGAGAGGGTTCCACACTACCCAGGTACTGACGCCCATCTTCAAGTGAAAACACAGAAGTCCTCCTACTGGGTAGACGCTGTCACAATTCGCAATATCATTCCGCTCGAGTCTGCGTTTAGGATATGGAGGCCGAAGACTAATCATCTTCCCCCAACCCTCCTCGACGCAATCATACGCTGCCCACTCAACCTCAGCACGCCCATGGAACGACCCAGCATAACATATGGTAGGAACGAGGGTTTGTGAGCTATGCAATTCATCATACATGCTACAAAAGTCGGAGACGTAGATGACATCGCGCCAATCTTTGCACACGCATCGCGCCTGTAGCAGGGTACGAAAAGGCAAGTAGCTGAGCACCTTGTGCTGCAAATCTCTTGGCAATTTGGGAACTGCTAGCTTCTTACAACCATCGGCCATGGCCACTTCATCCCAAATGAAACTCCCCACGTAAAAAACACAAAGTTCATTCGTGTGCCAAAGACTCCGAATAAGTTCGAGGCCTAAAGCTTGAACCTGCAAGATTTCTTCCAACGAGAGAGAGAGAGACGAGATCAAATGAAATTTGGCAAGCTTAGCATCGAGCTTCCGACTCACAACCCCAACCATCTATACTCCTTAAAACTACCCTTGTAGCTTAATTGCTAGAACAATGAAATCGAAATTGGAGCCTGCAGCCGCATGATTCGCCGCCATTCCTTCACCGCAGTCACACGATCCTTGATTTGTTGGATCAGCATCACGCAGCTTCGCAAGTCCCACGTCGCAGATCATCCTCGCTCGCGATCCATATGAGTCCAAACGGCGTCGAAATTCTGCGTCATGGTATCTCTCACTCAGAGCTGGGGCGAACCCACCCTCCAGACTGGGCACTTAACGAATGATTTTGGAAAATTACATTCATCTTTACACACATACATCCATCCAGCTCGGTGGTTTCGGGCAGAGGAGCAATTAATGAAATTTTCAGTTTGCCCGCTGCCCGTCTGCGAATGAATGTTTGACTAAAAATTAGCTCGAATGCCTTCACACTGAGAAGTATTAATTCATCCATTCATTCATCCACTTCCTTGAAAGACGTCTATGAAACAAACGCCCTTGAACTGAAGTGCCAATAGAATTTGGTTTAGAGGAGGTTTAGGGTTTCTGGTCTGTTGCGAATCGAACTTCAGCTTACTCCACGTTTCGTTTTTTCGAATCGGTGTGTGTGTGTGTGTTTTTTCTCCATGCACGTAGCAATGGATGCTCCTACGTTACCTCAGGTGCAATCCTAGTGCTTAATTCTTCAGTTTCTGCATCGCTCGGTTGAATGGGAGGACCATTCTTGTAGCCATTCATGTTTGATTCTAATTGGTTTGTCGTTGGATCTGTGTTTTGGAAGGTTGAGCGAAGGTTTGAACCGAATATTCTGTTGTCTAGTTTCAAGCCCTAACAATTTGCATTTCTGGGTCGAGAATGGGTAGACAAATGTGTTGATGAGTCGGATGGAGCGATATCGAAGTCAATATGGCGTTTGATGTGGAATTTGAGTTTAGAAGTATGGTGGTATTGTGTTCGTTGGCTCTGATGTGAGTCGATATGAAAATGGTTATTGATGAGGAATGGTTGGGAATGATTAGGAGGATGCCATCCCTGCAGCTCTCAAAGCTGAATTTGAGGAATGGGGCACTAAGACCACGGGAGGAGTGTTGGCTGGCATGCTTTATGGTGGTGTTCGTGAGGCTGCCTCCGCTGCAGTAAGTTTTTCTATCCTTGACATTTTTTTCATCACAATTCGATCTTGATTTTCCCCTTCTTCGTTCAGTATGGCATTTGCTATTCAGACGTAGTTCTTTGTAATTGATACGGCTACTTCCGTGTGTTGTCAATGTCTTTGACAGTTAAATCTAGGATTATATGTGATTTTCCCTGTGTGGTTTGTCAGAAAACGGAGCAATCCCGATTACCTTTTCCCCACGAGGACAAAAAGCCTCGTGGGAAAATCATCAGAGAAATGACGGAAAACAAAGTGCTTCGAATTGCCCGTGGCACTGTGTTGGGAGGCGCTAAACTTGGAGCTTTTGTTGCTCTTTTCAGTGGTATTCAACATGGACTTGCTGTACATCGGGGTAATCATGATGCCTTGAACACAGTCGCTGCTGGAGGCGTCACTGGAGGAACTTTTAGCCTTACTTGTATGACCTACACACACTTTACAAACAGCACTTGTTATTGTGCATCAAGATATTGGAAATTCACATGTGCAGGACAACTGATTGATTGGAAAGCTCATTTTTCGGCTTGTTGTTTTTCTTTTTGTCGTTTTGCTGATGAGCGTTGTATATTAGAAGTCTCAATTCATCGTGCTAGCTCCCTCAGTAACCGTGGTGAAGATCTAAAAGTGTGGATCGAAAGAAGGATGTAAAAGGGTGGATCTTTAAGAACGGTTTGTGGAATTTATGTTATCAACGGTTGGAGCATGTGTTTTGGATTGACGAGGTGGTATTGGTTTCCGCACTAGGACAGTACCAGGTTCGCTGTTGACAAGGATCAGTTCGGCTGCTGTGGGTACACTTCTCGGTGGATTTCTGGCTCTGCCTCTGGGTATTTTCAGCCACCACATATTAAGCAATTTGCGAGGATTTCGTTTTATTCATACTTGGTATTATTTTCTCTGTTAGAATCATCAACAGTACGCACTACCCAAGCTTCCATTCAGGGAATTTAATATGGGTGTACTCCCTGCGAAAATACTTTTTTGGGTTTTCACATTATTTGTATTTGGAACTCAGTAATTGTTCGTTATCAACCCGCAGGATTGTTGCAGAGCAACCTTGAAGCAGAACTGAAACCAGTGCAAGAACAGGAGGCGCGGGAACCACAATTGATCGATGGTGGTATACAACAACTGAAGTATAAAGAAGGAGTAGGAGTTGATGCAGTGATTCGCCGTCTTGAATCGAGAGCACCCGAGCCAGCACTCAGATCCCAGGAGTAGGAATCTTTTACTCAATTTTGATGGTACACCTGCTACATTTTTTGAAGTGCAAGGAGAAGAGTTTACGGATGTGTACACCTCAAATTCTTCGACCTTGTTCATGACTTAGGCTTTTGCAGATGATTTCAGAGAAGAGCTTTCCTGTTTACGATAGTTTAAACTTCAGAGTAAGGGTCTTCTGGTTGAGGCATTTTGTTTCAGAAGCTCGAAATGTCACGTGCAGTTGTAGGCTCATACAAGTCATTGCCCTTGTGAGGAGGACGATGTAAATACTGTACAGTGATGAGAGGAGCATACATGAATGAAATGGATTCAAGAGAAGTACATGTTATCGATACTTGTATCATTATGGCAATAAGAGATAGTATTATCTGCACCTTGGACTTCATGATCTTCGAATTAAGACGATATCTACTGCCCTTCATGGAATTTTACAGTTTCAATAATATACCACAATAAGAGTAAAATAGAGTAAACCATAACCAGCGCTTCATTCTGCCCTAAACCATAGAAGCGAAGTTAACCATCACAGCAGGAATTGTTGCGAATTTGTAAGCGGAGGTCCTTTTTCCGTCTCCGTTGGTTCCGGTGAGCTTCTATCCTGCTAATTAGTGTGCAATTTGTGTTGGATGGGCGTTTGTAGGATCGTTTTCATGGTCCTGGGATTTGCACTACCAGAAACTATCATGGTTCCCTTAGTGGGTGTCAACTATTGCAGACTAAAAGTGAGATAGATGTTCCATCCCATGAAACATGGCAATCTGGAGAAGTTGGGTTATTGCTTTCCTGGTATGCTGTGATGACACGCGAAAACGATCATATTATGCAACTCCATGCACACATTGTCTGGGGAACAAACAATTGTCTGACCACCCGTGTTCCTACCCAAGTTTCCCATGCTCGCCAAAGTGTTGTAAGAAATTTGAAGCTTTGTATCGCGTGTGACGGTTACACTTCTGCCTCTCGAGCGCATCAAGGTTCACAGTAAAAACCCGCTAAACATCTCCAAAGGTTTGTGTCAATGATCGTCTTCCATTCGTCCTAACCTGGGGACTGACTGATGGCAAAAAGAATTTGCAATAATTTTACGGGCTTCCAAAGGATTGAGATGCGTTCTTTCTATTGGAAGTATACAAATGCTCGTACAGATTTATTTAGTGACAATATCATTGATTTCATTGTTTATCAGAACTGATTTCATGAAACGTTTTGCAGGATTTTTCCTCAAACAAAGAAGGTTTGTAGTTGAGGCTAGACAAATGGTATTCGATTGGTGAATGCTATGGCTCGTAAACTGACTGAACACTGTAACCGTGGCAGAATAATTTGTTCAACTTGGTCACAGTGCTGAGCTTGTTAGGCAGCAGCACATAGCTAGAAAAAGCTACGTACTGTTGGAATTCGGCGAAGGGAATTTTTGGAGCTTCGTGACGATCCATGGCGTGGCAACTTAGACATTTATGTCAGACGCTCTACTAGTCGTACGATTAACTCAGGTAGTGAATCCGTGTAGTCTTAGCCGACAATCGGAACACGTAATTAGATTTCATAGCTACTCCATGTAACATACATTTATAAAAGGCTGTATAATTGTATGCATGATTTTTATCCAAGCAATGGGGCAATACATAGTCTACTTTATCATGTTCTACAACCTTGCCATTAACAAAATTTCTTCGCTTGTTTTTGCTGTGAAGAAACTGACCTTAGTGTCAATAGTAATGGTTTCAATTCTTTGGTAAGAGCAGACTTTACTTAACATTAGTTTACAATCATCTTGCCCTAAAGCTTCACGTTATCTATTGGCATATCCTTGTTTGCACTCATCTACATCTACATCTAGTTTCTAGACCCAAAACCTTATCCCTAAACCCAGAAGAGAGGTCGCTTCAATATAGAATGCTGGAATCTAAGGGTACTACTAATGATATCAGTCTATGTTACAGATACAATAAGCTTGTTCTCTCGTCTCTCTGTCTCGAGAAGCTCCGGACATTCATCATAGTCGTCGCTGAAGCTGTAGCGTTGGCCGACAGCGCGGAGCAGTCCCGTGACCTCGTACATGGAAGGTCGCTCCCGGGCAGTGGCATTCACGCATGACCAAGCAATCTTGAGAACTTGCAACATTTCGTCGTCTGCTCCTCTTCCTCGCAAGGATGAGTCCAGGGCATTTGCAATGCAGCCACTGGAGGCCAGCATCCCGACCCACTCGACCAAGGTGCCCTTGAAGTCACGGTCAACGACAACATCTACGGGTTTCTGTGTGGTGACGAGCTCCAGGAGCACGACGCCGAAGCTGTAGACGTCACCCCGCATGGTGGCTACAAGAGTGCGGACATATTCCGGCGCTACGTAGCCCACGTCGCCGAAGTCGCCATTGACAGCAGTGCTAATGTGTGTGTCAACTGGGTTCATGAGACGTGCTAGGCCAAAGTCGGTGATCCGGGGTTCGAATTCCTCGTCAAGGAGAATGCAATTAGAGCTGATATTGCGGTGGATGATGCGTGGGTTGCAGCTATGGTGAAGCCATGCGAACCCCCGCGACGCACCAATTGCAATTTTGAGTCGTGTCTTCCAGTCCAGTGGCTCCTTCTCGAATGCGTCATGGAGGCGGTATTTCAGGCTCCCGTTGGACATATGCTTGTAGACCAAGAGCCGTTCCTGGCCAACAACGCAGTAGCCGAGCAAGGGGACGAGGTTGCGGTGGTGAAGGTCACCGAGAGTGTCCATTTCGTCTCTAAACTGGCGGTCGGTGTGTACCGAGCCTTGTAATCTCTTGATTGCCATGACGGATCCATCTGGGAAGTCACCTCTGTACACAACCCCGGATCGGCCAGACGATACGATGTTGTCTTTGCTGAATCCGTTTGTAGCGTCCATTAGATCGCTCAGTCTTATCTTGACCAGAGGTTTCTCGAACATAGAGATGATGACGGTCTTGGGCGCTTTGATGCGAGATGCCCACCTGCTCTCATCTCGCAACATAGTGGCGCTCTTTCTATTTGTCCTACGTACAATGTAGCAGAATATGATAGCCCCGACGACCAGCACCGCGATGGCGCTTCCAACTGCACCTCCCACGATGACACCCGCGCCTGCTCCCTTTCGCTCTCCAACCTTCGCACACTTGTTTTTCAGCGGACGTCCACACAAGCTTGTGTTATTTTGAAAACTGCTGGCATCAAAACCAGAGCGATTCTCGAATTGTCGATCGACAAAAGTACTCGGAATGAGCCCCTCCAATCGGTTGCTAGACACGTCAAACCTCTGTAGGCGGTTAAGATATCCTATCTGCTCAGGAATGGGTCCAGACAACTGATTATTGTTCAGCAGAATATCATTCATGAACTTGCATTCTGCGAGGTTCGGGGGGATGCTCCCCTGGATGTTATTCCGGGATAGGTCGAGGTCCACCAGATTGGGCAGGTCGGAGCACAACTTGCTCGGAATCGGTCCTGTAAAGCTGTTATCCGACAAATCTAGCCGGGTAAGTGCATTGCACCCTTTCAATCCCTGCGGAAAGGAGCCGTTGAGACGAGACCCCGAGAGTTTGATAAAATAGACAGGCGGTGCATTGTTACCGTAGCATGTTACTCCGTACCATGTGCAGATCGAGCGAGGGCTGGAGGTTGTGTTCGTCCATGTTAAGAGATGTCCCTCTGGATCTCCCACGGACGCCTTGAAGGCTAACAAACAACTTAAGTCATCTCTCTGGGCAGAGACTATTTGCAACATAACCATCAGCCCCAGACACAGCTCGATTAGTAGCACAGCCATGCAGATGCCTCGATTACGTCGTAGACTTCAGTAAGTGTTTGACCTCCTCGTTGGCGTTGCCTTCAATCAGTGTAGATCTCCATGAGCGCGCATTCTGTTGCCTCTCTAAACCTCTTGGAGGGGTTCAGGTTACGGCAAACGAAAAGGAATGAAAACATTAAATTCTGCCGTGTCTCACAGATGTCAATCGACTCTTCTGCAACAGAGAAGTCACCACAAGTGTATAAGTCCTGAATGCACAGTTGTGGCGAAAACAGATTAGGGTGATGTGGCCCACTTTTCACATCCACTCACTGTAGGGAGTTGGCTGATACAAAAAAGATTACTGCTGACGAGAAGTTCCGATGTCTTCGAGAATGCTTATTCAGCATGTTTTAAAGAGTTAAATGCTAAAGAATGTGCCACAGTCTACGGAGAACAATCCGAGGCCCTTGAACTGATTTTTCATGATGGAAACATAAAAACGAACCACTAATTTATCACCCACGTCAATATGGCCAGGGTCTGTCAGAGGCCCTGCAAATATGTCAGTGTGTTCTGACAGCATCTTGCAAACAACTCCCCAAGAGCTGAGCAATCTTTCACAGGCTTCGCTTCATGAAAGGGCTCAAATACCATACATCAAAAGAAAGAATTTTATGAGTGGAAATGGAATTGAACAAATGATCTCAAATAGAACTCATATTACCTTTAATGCTAATGTATACGGAATAAGTTCTAGAACTGTAGCTCCATATCCATGATAGTGCGTGAGAAGGAACCTTGGGACACCTGCAGACCTTGCATGCGAGGGGCTCACAGCTTCGTCGCCTTCACCCCTGTAGACAGGCACTTCGTTTCGTGGCTAACTTGTGATGCTGAAAAGGGACGAGGAAATCAGACCTAAGTTCCGTCACAACGGCAGAATACAGCACACACCACACCGAAAATCACTGTCACGCCGAGGCCTCCACAGTTATATGTTGAGCTTTCCCCGCCAAGTTATAGGCTCCCAAAATTGGAAACGCCAGTTGAAGACTAGCACTGGGAAATACCCTAGCCTTGAGCCAGAAAAGAATGTAAACTTGCTTAAGAATTGCAACAATGTGTGTGCATTGAAGTCAAGAGAGCTGCGATCAAGCAGTATACTCAAGTCCTCTCTACGCGGTCTGCACACTCTGTCACTATCCCCACGATCGGAAGTTCAACACAACGCTCTCCACTCCAGCTCCTTACAGTAATCCCAGGGCTTGCCTCGAGCTAAAAACTCGACAGCAGACGTCAACCACTGAGTACGTCGCAGCACCAACCACCGCAAACTCCATTCACAGCCTCCAAACGCTCGTCATTGTCGACATAACCATCATCACCACCAACCAGGCTCCCTTTCTCGCCAACAAACACACACACACACACACCCAGCTGAAGTTTCATACACCACTCCCCTGGCCACACGCTGTCTACTCTGCTCCACAAGACTACCCCTAAAAACCCGAATAAACCCTTCTCACTCACCTGTAGCAGCAACGAGACCCTCCCCGGCTAAGGTCCCTGGAGGTTCAAGCTTTGGCTAAGAAACCCATCCCACACTGCTACAAGCTCCGACTGGTTATGCAAATACATAGACAGTAGCGAATGCGTTAGGAGAGAGAACATGGAAAGGATAGGCAAGCTGCTGGGAAGTACCAGCGAAGTGGAGAGGGTGGCAGTAAAGAGCAGATGAAGCGACATTGATTGATTGTGAGCTCCTGCCACAGCTGCTGCGCCAGTTGCTGCTGCTGCTGCAAGGTCTCGGCGCCTACTAAGTTAGTGTGCCTTCAAAAAAAGGGGAAAAAGAGGGAGAAGAAGAAAGCAGCAGCAGAAGAAGAAGAAGACGAAGGGTCCTGCTGTTGACTACTGTTGACTGCCTCTGTAAATATTGCCATTCATTTCAATCTCCCCATTTGTCACCCTATGGAGCCATCACCCCAGCAGGTGTGTGTATATATATTTATATCATAACTGTGATCTATCTGTGGATCAGTTTGGCACAATTTCCATCATCACTTTGTGGTCTCCTTTCCTGCAGACCCCCCTCTGATCTTTTTGCTTTTAACCTGTCCATCTATCTATCCATCCCTTCACCCCTTCATCCCTCCCCATCCCTCACACACACTGAGAGGATGGTCTGATCTCCATAGCCCTCTGGCCCTTTGAGTGCACACAGCCATAGCATACTGTACAGTAACACATCTGTGCATGTTGACAAAGGAGAGCTGATTGGGGCTTGAGATGGAGAAGGGAGTGGAGAAAAGGACTGCAGCACAAAATTGGCTGGGGTGGGCAAATGGATTTGTCAACCTGCACTTGGAAGGTGCAGTTAAATGGATTTCAATAGTTTGGTGGTTAATCTCATGCATGAAAACACCACCTTAAGTCCCCAGTCTCCACTTGAGCAATGAACAATTACAGTAATAATCTGGTCCCAGGTGGAACTTAAAACCTGGTTTGGAACAATATCAGTGTGAAAAGAGTCTACTTAGTGTATAAGCCATTTGTACTCATGGAAAATGCTGTAGTTGAAGGGTTGTGATGTATCCTTTCAAGTCCCTCCCCCATCCCCATCCTAGTGTGTTGGTAATTTTAGGGAGGAAGTTAGGTTTGTTGCTGGGGGAATTTATGTAATGAGGACACAAGGAGATTGATGGTTTTAATGTTGGAGTTTACCACTCACTTGTGTACTCTGTGTTTCCATGAGATGGATTACATATGTATGTATGTATGTACTGGTTCAATGCCTCTTGATGAGATGTTTGCTTGCTTGTCCAAGCCTCAGTAGCCAGGGCTCATATTTACCACTTAAAAACCTTGTATGTTAATGCACTGTAACTAATCAAACCACAGCCACCATTCAAACTTCAGATTCAATCCTCTCATTTCCATACACTTTGGTCTATTATGCAGCTGGGAAAAAATGATCTTGGTAAATTGTAATTGAAAATCAAGTGACAGGTGTACTTCAGCCCATTGTCATATTCATGGTGGAGATTGTTTGCAGAGCACCCACTAGTTGGAGGCTCCTGTTGCCACTATATTTTCTAACACAGAATTATAATGCATGGGAGGGAAACAGGAGGCCGATCTCTGTCTGTCCCCCCCCCCCCACCCCACTTTCAGTCTACTCTAGTTCAAGAGCACCTGATCTATTTTTCTGGCAGGCAACTGTGGAAGGATTGAAGTTTGGGTGTTTAGATCATAAGCAGTTGTAAAAGGAGGATTTGATGAGCAAGCTTGTTTCAGTAGAATTGAGTAAACTTGCTTGCTTGAAGGGGAAAGAGTGAAATTCCATTTTGACCCATCCATCAATGAGCCCTGCATCCAATGCTACTTCAGCCTACACAACAAAACTAGTTTTTAACTTATCCTCCTCACAAATTACCAATTGCAGAGCAGTGCCTTAGCATCATGAAAGATCATTTTGGTTAAAATCTCCACAATTTTTCAGTCCCTGTCCAATTACAACTGCAGAATTAGTTGTTTCTTACTTTTAACTATTTTCGATGCTAGATTATTGACAAATTGTAGCTGTTAACTGACCCCAACTGTAGTGCTGTTGACAATGTGCTGCTGAATCCATATGATTATTTTTGTTTAAAGTACAGGTTTGAACTTACAAAAAGAGTTAAAAGAATTGGGTTTAAGTGCCTGCTGCAACCCAAAGCATGAGGCCTCTGCAGCTCTGCTGTCAAGTCCTGTGAATTGAACAAACCTAGAAAAAGTAAAAATTAAAAAATGGAACAGAGCCTGGGTTCAATGTATTAAGGTGATGGGAAGTGGTGTAATCAAGTCCCTTATTGTCCTGCATTTATCTTTCTTTGTATCAGAGTTTAGCTCATCTTCCAAATTTCAAGCTCTGTTAATTAGTTCCAGTGTCAGTATTTGTAGTGCAGTCATGGGCTGCAAGTACAGCCAACAGAAAAATTAAATTAAACAAAAGTAAAAAATAACCCACAGTTAACAATGAGTTGGTTCCCTCCTGAATTTAGTGTAAACAAAGCATTTTGATTTCTTCTTCTTCTTCTTCTTCTTTCTTCTTCTTCTTCTTCTTTCTTCTTCTTCTTCTTCTTCTTTTTTCTTCTTCTTTTCAGCAACTGGATGGAAAGAACATATCAATTTTACAGTAATTTTTTATCTTTCCTTTTTCAAATAGGAAAGTATTCACTACATAGGAGTAAAAAAGTGTGGAAGAGACCTTGACCATTTTGACCTATGGCTCTGGGCTTAAACAATGGTGAGTTCCCCCTGCAATGTACTACTCTGAGGGTTTCCTTCTGGCCACCAGCACATGCAATATAAACACCTTGCCAGACTCTGGAAGAAGCCTGTCAACCCATTATGTCGTCAACCTCCTCCTCCCCTTCCAGCTTTGATAAATATCATATATTCTCCAAGGTATATCAGGTCGTGGGGGCAGTCGCTTCCTTTCTTAAAATATACAAGGCTTTTCAAAAGGAAAAATATCAGCAGGATTGGTACCAAAGTGAGTGCCTGTATGTATGCATGTATGTACACATTCATCCCCAATTTGGTTTAACTGTAATAGATCAACTTGTTCATGTAAATGCAATTGCTTTGAGTGCATGTTTCTGTTGAAATTATAAGTTTTAAATGTATTTGTCCAAGTTGATTGAGGTATACCATACAAAGTGGCATTGAAATGAGTTCTACATTGTTTATGGAGTGTAAATATGTGGAATGCTTTGATGATTCATTACATTGTGCTTGTTGCACTGTTCAGGTTTGAATATAGCTGGGTAAGCTTTGACTAAAATTTTTCCCTACTTTTGTTTTGTAAGGAGGAGGGATTATGGATTGCAATAAAAGTAGGAATAATTGAATTAAGAACATTACCAGCATTTTTTTTCTTCTTTTGTCTAACTGATTGCAACCTGGGTTATATATATATATATATATATATACATACACAACCGATTTCCCACTTCCACATGAAATTTATTGATTATTTACTTTTCTATGCATTGCTCAATCTTTTCATCTGACTAGTTGGAAATAATGGTGATTATCTGTGTGCTGTAAAAACGAACGATTGATACTACATTTCTGTGCCTTGTAAAACTGGTTTTAGCAGTCTTGATTTTGCAGACTGGTCCTGTAGTGCACAACGGCCGGAAGCAAAACAACAAAGCAGTACAGTTTTGTTTCATTGCTGGTCCAAATTCAGCAAGGAGTAGACATGCCACGGATAAGGGTAGCTTGGAGAGGAAAATCCAAAGAAATTGCGGTATTTTCATATGTAAAAGTGCAGACTAATGGTTTCAAACCTTGACATGGAAATTGAAGAAGCCTTTCATCTGCTACCAGCTCTCTAGAACTCCCGGGGCCTAAGTGAAAGGACTGGCGATGGCAGGCAGAGCCATAATGAAGCTCTGACACAGGACAAAATGCAAGCATGGAATCTTCCCACAGTGGGTGCCTGGGCTCTGCAGAACACCCAGATAAATCATCTCGGCATCATTTGAAGGAGAAGCAGATTCTCCACATTTCAAACCAGGCTTCATCATGTCTTCAAAGAAGAGAGAGGGTGAGGACACCTGAATGAAGGCCTTGGAGATGGGAACACAACCTTTTGCTGCGCTTGAGGCACGCTCTACGCTTGACAGGCTTGTTGTGGAGAGAAAATTACAACTCTCTGCGACCTTGAATAGTTCACCATTGACTATACCTCTAGACTTACACCCCACACGAATGAGAAGTGGGCGAGATTTTGGAAGTCTGTTTTGTTGTTGTTGTAAAGCTCCTGTAGTTGGTTACAAGGTGAAGGAATTGTGCACTCTTCTCGGCTGGTGGGTCCTATTCAGCTTTGACACTTGGATCTCTTGTGTGCCAAGAAGTCGGCAAGTAATTTACCCCCAAACACGTCAATTTTTTTGTTTCAACGGGCATCAGATGACTTGATTAGCACTCTGTGCCTGGTGAACGTAAAACTAGCCACAATCTAAGCTAATTTTCATTAAAGTGACCAAGCTTGCTTCATCTGAAGTGTGTGCCGTGTATTTTGGACGTAGGCGTAGGAATCAGAACCTGAGACTAGAGGGCTTTTGTCTTCCAACGCCTACCAAACGCCAACGCATGTCTTGCAGTGGGATGCGGTGGAGATGTTAACTGCAGTGGGCGAGTTCTTAGAAACTGTGAGTCTACTGCATTTGGGAGCCCTAAACCTTAGGTTACCTCTGTTGAACGGCATTTCACGTTGTGCTATAGTTCGAACGACCTTCACCTATGTTTTAAGCGTGTGATGCTTGTGATGGAGAAATGTGGAGGGTGAAGGAGCGATCGTTTTTTTCTGTGGCCAATCTGATTTTGTTGCTCTTCTTGGAGGGATATCACTTGGTGTCTGATTCCTTGTGATATTGTGGTTTACAGGGGGTGATTCTGGTATATGGGTTACCAATTCCCATGGGGTTCCGTAATAGCAGTTTTCTGTGACATGAAGGACAGCAATGTTGGCTCTCGAATGAATGCTAAAAACCTTAAACCAATTTCTCGGCAAGGAATGAGGAAGAATTGACGTGCGCTGCCTGTTTCCAGCTGCCCAACAGCTGGTCTTGAATTGTTTCCATCCCCGCAGCGGCGCAAATCTTGCTCTAGCGGAAGGTGATAGTTGACCGCCTGATCCAAGTCAGTGATAGTCAGTGAAGAATCATGTACGAATACCGGAACACATGTGCCAAGGTATGTGCTTTCTATTGTTTTTACAATTAAGACTGTTGTATCATGGTCAGATTTGGTTTCGGGAGTGAAGAATAGTCGACGGAGTTGCAGTGGCCTCACAAGCTTCGCCTATTGAGCATCTCACTCAAGTATTTTTCCTTTTGAAATACTTCCCAGAAGTTTATGCTCTCACTGGACATGCGGTGCTTAATCTGGCCCAAAGCAGTCAGCTTTGAAGGATGTCTATGAGGGATGGAGTTCAGTCGCTGGAATAATCTATTAGCATGCTAGCTGGGCAGGGTTTAAACCCTAAATTTTCTATTTCAAGACATAGGTCACTTTGCTGAGTTGGGGTGTGGTGCAAGAGATGGGCTCTAGTGTGTGACATATATACAATTTCATCTATGTTCTTTCCAAAACATTTTATCGCATTTGTGATTTAAGACAAAAATATCAAACATCAATATTTCTTTCATTTATAAGATAATATGGCATGTTGTAGCATTTAATATAGTAGGTGCAATTTGGCTCAAACATACATATTATTGAACTTTGAATTATTGTACTCCTATCCAAGCATGTCACATATATACACATATAAATCAATAATTACTTTTATGATTAGATAAAAGTAGATAAAAATAGATTAATTCCATAATATCTTTTATAGAAGTTTTATAGACCTTACTTTGACTTTATAGATGTTTATAAATGATTTTTTAGGTTAAAAATATAATCAACAAATTAGCCATGTGCTACACATGTTGGTTGTTTGAAGAACAAATTAACTATGTGGTGTACACATAGAAAACTTGTCATATAAGCTAAAGCATGTGTCTTGCAGAGTCAACACATATTAGAGGTCCCATAGAACATTGCCACATAGCTCCCAGTCAGATTATATATATAGAGGCAAGAGTAAAGTCCTCTTCACTCTTGTCAACTCTTTTCTTGCTTCTACTTTAGATTTAAGAATCTCTAATTTCTTTGTTTGTTGGGAATAGCCATTCCAATTTCTTTTTAATATACATACTTCTTTATTTATATATTTTTATATTTTTTTATTTACTTTCTTTAAATTCTTGTCTTTGACAAATTGATATGATTACACTTACAATATTAGAGCTTTGTCTTTTCTTGATTAAGAGTGGATTATCCCTTTTTCTTGATAAGACATAAATGTATTAGAAGTTGTGAATTATCCTCTTTTAAATTGATATTGTTTTTACTTTCTTTGATGTTCAATCATTTTTTTTATAATACTTAAGTAAAATTATATATATATATATATATATTAAAATATTATCATGGTAGAGTTTGTTGAAATAAAGAGTGCAATGATACAAATACAAGAGCAATTGAGGGAGTTAATGCTTGCAATGCATCAATTCAGTTTATCACCACAATGAGCAACAAAAATGGCAGAAAGTGAAGATATAGATATGATTGGAGTTGCTTCAACATTTGTATCAAATCATGTCCCTTCTTTTACTATAAAACATCCTTCCGGTACTAAAGAACCAAGAATTGTCATGCAAAAAAAATTTAATGGCACAAGATCAAAGTTTGAAGATTTATTAATCAAATACAATTTGTAATTGAACTTCAACTCCAAACCTATCCAACTCCAAGATCACAAGTTAGATTCATTGATACACTTCTTTCAAGTTCAATATTATTGTGGTTTTCATCTTTTTTTGAATAATAAGATCCAATATTGAATAATTTGGAGGCTTTTTTAGTGGAGTTTTGATCCATGTATGGAGAACATGATTTAACTTATGTTGCAATCAATAAGATCTATATTTTGCAATCAATTCATAATATTATATGCTTTATAATTTGACAACTTGCAATTGATATCAAGTCGAATGATGTTACTTTTACTAACCAATTTTTCTATGGATTACAATATGAGGTAAAGAAATTTATGTTCAACTTAGTTGATCTTTAAATATTAAATCAAGCAATTAACTTTGCTATGAAGTGTGACAATTGACTTTTCAAAATTTGATTTGAGAGTTAGATAAGTGGGCCTCAATGTTAATATAATTCAATGGCAATATCAATGTCTCCTCAATACATACATTTGGAAGTAGAAGATATGCAAATTGATACGGTATGTTTAAAACTTCTTATTGAGTAAAAAAAGATTAGTCCCTGTTAAGAAGGATTGTGCTTATATTGTGGAGAATCTAAGTACATTGTTCAACATTGTCTAAAGAAGTGATACAATTATAAAATAAAGAGTACAAATGTCAAAGAAGACAATATATTGGAAAATTAGTTTATTTAGCTACAATAAGAACCGTGCATCTAAAATCTTGTATAATATCTAATAAAGGTCTTATTTTCTCTTCAAAATCCTCTCTTTATTTTATATTGAATATTATTTTACGATCTAAACATTACAAAGCCTTTGTCTTGTTAGATTTAAGAGCCTCAATATATTTCTTAAATGAAAAATTTGCTAAAAGACTTAGCATATTTTTAATGAAGAAAACTAAATGTATTAATATAGAAATTATAGATGATTGTCCGTTATCTTTTGGAAATGTTACTCACAAAATTCTTCCTATAGAAGTAATAATCAATGGTCATAATAACTTTATGTATTTAATATCATTAAAACTCTTTTTAATCCAATCATTTTAGTCTTATTGTGGTTAGAAAAATATAATTCTTGAGTAGATTGGATTTCTTGTACTCTTGAATTTTCTAAAAGCATTATTAAGAGTATAGTTAATCAAGTAAAAAATCACAAGTCTAATACAATTAAACCTGTTTTTGTAGGTACAAGAGCTTTTTTACATGCTGCAAAAGAAGGATCACCTTATGTCATTAAAAAAAAATAAATGCGGATACTCTTTTAGAACATTATTCCTATGACTACTCAATTGATCTTTTAAAAGGAGCACAATCTTTATTTGGACTAATCTATAATTTATCACAAATTGAATTGACTGAACTCAAGGAGTATATTGAAGAAAATCTAGCTAAGAACTTCATATACTATTTCGAATCTCCAATAGGAGCCTCAATTTTATTTGTGAAGAAAAAAAATGGATTATTGTGGATGTGTGTTGATTATCAAGAATTCAACAAGATTACCATCAAGAACAAGTATCCACTATCTTTAATATCTAGACTTTTTGAGTAATTGAATCAAAGTAAGATCTATATAAAAATAGATATTTGAAGAGCATACAATCTAGTACACATAAAAAAAAGGAGATAAATTGATGATTTCATTTTGAACCAAGTATGGACATTATGAATATAATGTCATGTCTATTGCACCTATAAATATACCAACAGCTTTCAGCAGTCGAGATTAACTATGAGATCTATGACAAAGAGCTTCTTGCAATTGTGGATTCTTTTCAAGATTAACATCATTATTTAGAAAACACTTCTAGTCTAGTCACTATATATACAAATCTCAAGAATCTCAAATACTTCATATTAATACTTGGTTTGAATTGTCGCCAAGCTCGTTGGAGCATGTCTTTATCAAGTTTTGATTTCAAGATCACATATCAATCTAAAAAATAACAATATTTGATTTCAAATCACATATCAACCTAAAAAATAACAAGATTTGTAAAACATCCTTTTAAGACATTCATATCTTGTATCAAAAGAAGGAGATACATCTAGTGATCAACAAAGAACAATTTTCTTGAAGCCCAAGCATTTTCATCTTTGAATAATGAAATCAACATTAATTGTTGATTCAACCTTTGTCAAATAAATTCAATCAAGTATGTCTTCTGATTTTCTTATTTATGATATTAAGAATCCTTCTTTTAAGTCTCATGATGCTTTCAAATTTAAATTTAAAAACAATCTATTCTCTTTCAAAAGATGCATATATATTGTCACGGACACAAAATACAGACTTAAAATCTAACAAGAAGCTCAAGAAGAAGTGACAGAACTAGATTAAACAGATGAGTACAAGAACAACACTAGAAAAGTGAGCTAGAACTCCAAGAGATGTGTTGTCGAGACTGAAGAACTCTTCAGCCTCGATCCCTATATATACTCCTATTTAGGAAGCTTCTCGAGCTACTTCTATTAACAAGGAAGCTTCTAGAAAGTTCCAGAGGCTTCCTTTCTAGAAGCTTCTAGAAACTTCTCTTCTAAAAGGTTCCAGAGACTTCCTTTCTAGAAGCTTCTAGAAACTTCTCTCTAAAAGGTTCCAGAGGCTTCTCTTCTAAAAGGTTCTAGAGGCTTGTTTTCTAAAAGGTTCTAGAAACTTCTCTCTAGAAAGTTCTAAAGAATATGTCCCTAACGTCACCCCCTCCTTTAGCTTCGAGGTCTCTGAGAAGCAATGTTGTTGATCAATACCAATGCAAGAAAATGAAGATCTGTCGCATAACTTCTGCTATGAACTTCAACTGTTGTTCACGAGGCAAGTGGTTCATCGACCCTTGAAGCCAACGGTAGTGGCCCACGCCTTCGACTTTTGACCAAGCATGAACTTCCGTATCCTCATTGTGAAATTGTCATGCAAACACGCCTTCTAGCTGACCATCGTAAGCAGGCTCAATCTCAAATACGATCACCAGTGATCGGTTACTCGGTATCCTCCGTCGTCGTCGTGGTACATGTAGTTCTTCATCTCGGGGTCACCTTCGTGAGCTACTCGGTTGCGATACTCTGATTGGCATAGTATCTATCTCTTGGCTATCCATATCAAAAGACCAAACTACGATCTATCTTGGAGAAAATAACTACATCAACTACAAATTTTGTTGGTGCTCTCCCCTTTTCTTATATTGTTGAGAGAACAAGCTTTAGAAAGAAGCTATCGTCAAATTGATTTAGGTTTATCAGCATGTCGTTGATGAAACTCCTGTACCCTTTGTGGCGCATTCGCAAGATTTTTAGCTGGCTCCCACATTCACTCATTAATGTCATAGCCGCACCAATGAACAAGATATTCTAACTTTCTTTACCTTCGCCGTGAATCCAATATCTTTTCAACCTCGTATTCTTCGTGGTTCTCGATTTCAATACTAGGTAGCGGACATTGCACTCTTCCAGGAAAAGATGATTCTCGATAAGGTTCTAACAGAGAAACATGGAAGATTGGATGTACCTTCATAGAGGCCGGTAATTCCAGCCGATATGCCACTGGATTAATTTGCTTCTGGATGATAAATGGTCCCAATCTTCGATAGTCCAACTTATCACATGGTCGCTTGGTCTTGATATTTTGTCGAAGAAGCCAGGCTTTGTCTCCAACTTTGAAAGTAGGTGCTTGATTCCGAAATCTATCTGCAGACGTCTTATAGGATTCTTGAGCAAATTGTAATTGAAGCTTCAATATAGTTTGAAGCTCTGATAGTTGCTTCGCAAATCCTTCAGCTGCTGGATTGTTATTTGTTGACAGACTCAATAAATCAAGCTTCGGATGATACCCATAGTTGGAAAAGAATGGTGTTTGTTGAGTCGACGCATGGAGGG